CCCCCACCTCTTCGTCTCTCCTCCCCCATTCATCTGTGTATGTGTGTACGGGGCTGAGCATCTTCTATGTATGTCTCAGACCCCACCATCTCACGATTGAATGTGTGTGGAGTGATGCTATGTGAGTCAGTCTATGTGAGTCAGTCCGTTTATCAGACTTCCGTTGCATCTATACTCATCCTACATTGGTTGATTCTTGGTTCTGCCCATACTCATTGGAGTATGCAACATTACATCAGCCAGCTGTGACAGATTACATCAGCTAGTTGTGACAGATTACATCAGCCAGCTGTGACAGATTACGTCAACCAACTGTGACAGATTACATCAGCCAGTTGTGACAGATTACATCAGCCAGCTGTGGCAGATTACGTCACCAAGCTGTGACATATTACATCAGCCTGCTGCGACAAATCACCCCAACCAGCTTGTGATAGATTACGTCAGCTAGTTGTGACATTCACCTCGGCCAACTTATGACAGATTGCTTCAGCCAGCGTGTGACAGATTGTTCCAGCCATTGTCAACCAGGTAACTCCATGGCAATTTGAGGGTTGAAAATGCTTAGTTGGTGATTGAACATGTAAGCCGTAAACCTCAAGTACGCCCTTGTTATCTGAGAGCGCTGCAACTTGACATTGTCCAAGACGTTTGGACTTCAAACATAGTTTTGCATCAATGTATCACTTTTGACTGCAATTGTGAAAACACCCCTCTTGTTTTACGTACACTCTCCGTATATTTCTGAATGCCATGAATTTCAAATATTCCCCTTGCAAAATCTGAGATCTCAGGAAGGACCTCGAAAGAGGGGTTACAATTCAGATCTATGATCGGGGAGTCTAAGTTTTTTTTAAAATTATTTTACTTTTCTTTTATTCTACTCAATTGTAAGAAGCTGTTGAAGAATCATTTGGAGGAGCGTGACGGGCAAATCTCCTCTTCTACCTGTTACGCCGGTGAGGACCTCTAAAGCGGGCACGGCGGGTGACAGACGCCGCTGTCCTTGGCTTCAACGGCGAACAGGCGACCCCTCCCCAGGTTTCCTCACAACGGCATGGGTGCAGGGATGAACGAATGAAGAGCAAGGATGAGCGAGCAAGTCATGTGCATGATCATTGGATAATTATATTAAAAAAAAAAAATGAGGATTGGAATGGGTCACAATTGGTGCTTTGGGATTGGTCAGGATGGTTGTCAGAGTGATTGGGATGGACAAATTGAGGATTCCCATTGGTGAATGGACAACCCGAATGGTGGAAGGAACGACACTGTTACGGCAGGGATGGACAAATGGAGGGKGAGGATAACCAGACAGACAGATCGGGACGGACTGGTCGAGGATTTCCAGGGCCGAATGGACAGTCGCGATGGGGGCAGGACGAGACGGGTGTGTACCCTCCCTTTCCTAGGCTCAAGCTATGCCACTTTCCTCTCGATCGCGCTGCCAGCTGGCTATGCTATGCCACTCTCCTCTTGACCGTGCCGCTAGCTGGCCACGTTCTTCCGTTTTCCTCTTGGATCCTTCCTTCCCACCCTTCAATCTCCTACGCAGTCTTCTCGCCCCTTGGTGTCCTCGCTCATTCCTACGTTATCCCGATCTTCTTCCCTCTCCTTCAAGTCTCCTCTCTTTTCCCCATGCAGTCTCCTTTCCCCTTGGTGTCTCTCCCTTTCCTACCTTATGTTGCTCTCTTCTCGATCGTGATCCTGGCCGCCCTGCAGGGTGCCCACCTCTCGCGGTGCTTGCTATGCCGCTCTCTTCTCAGCATGATGCTAGGCACCCCGCCACGTCCCCGCCTCTGCTAGTGCTTGCTCTCCTCTCGATGACCAGTGCCTTGCCAGCTGGCTATGCTATGCCCCTCTCCTCTCGATCGTGCTGCTAGCTAGCTGTATTCGCTTGCTAGCAACGGATCTGAACGATACTGGTCTGTCGGTCAGTCGTAACCCAAAAACTTCGCGCCAGACAATTTTGGGTTGGGCCCGGCCTCAGTGATCCAAAAACTTTGTGACGGTGTCAGGCGGCGACGAAACATGGAAATATACACTTGTTTCTGTTTGTTTGTGTGTGTGTGTGTGTGTGTGTGTGTGTGTGTGTGTGTGTGTGTGTGTGTGTGTGTGTGTGTG